GAGTAGTTTTTATTTTTATAGGGGACTTGGCCTATTAATAATGGTGTAATCCCAACTATTTTTAATTAGAGAGAGTGATATAATAAAATGTGGTTCTCCGTGGAGAATTTACGTGTTCGTTCACTGATTCCTTGCTAGGATGAGGTAAACCCCTTCCACCCCCTCTTCTTTCTTCTTCTCTTTCTATTCTGTGATTTTTAGTCCTTCTCGTTCTTCATCATTAACACTTATTATTACACATTTTATAAGTTAAATCATTCATTTTCTAAGTTTAAATGATGCATGTTCTTCAATATTTTGGGTGAATGATTAATTAAGTTATGTTTATGATTGTAAGTGCGGAAAGATGAGAAGAATGGATGATTAAGGCAATAAGGATGACTAAGAAAGCAAGGGATTGAATTAAGGAATGACCAAAGCAAAGATCCAAGAAAAATGTGGTTCAACCGGTTGGACAATCACTTCCAACCGATTGAGCAGAAGAATAACAGATTCAACAAAGTAATGCAAACACTTCAACCGGTTGATCAGACAAAGCCAAGGCAAAAAGCAAAGTACTATGAAGGCTTCAACCAGTTCATCACTTACGTTTAACCGGTTGAAGAAAGGCGACCAACTGGTTGAACCCTCCTTTCAACTGGTTGGTGTTAAGGCGGTTTCAATTAAAACCTTCTCATGTTCTTATTCGTTGAAGAGGGTCGACAGAGTTGTCATTGGGGCTCGACAAACCTAGGGAAGTCTTCCTATTGGTTGACTGCAATTCCCAAAGCTTCAAGGATGCAATCCATTGGGCAAGCTGGGCGACGAAGCTTCCACTGCACTTCACTCATCATCCAAGCCACGCACCATGTCCAATGAGGAGGAGAGAAATGGAGCATATATATATAGATGTATTTTTACAGAAGGATTTCTCTCTCCTCTTTTCAACATTTTTTTCTTTAGAGTTTTCATTTGATACTCTCAGCTATAGAAGAAGAGTTTTTACTATAACTTCACATTTTCAAGAGCTTTGTCGGGTTTCGAAGAAGATAACACTTGAGTGGTTTCAAGGTTTTGTTTCATTGTATTTGCATCCATTACTTGAAGGTCAATAATAGTTTGAGCATTTCTTTTTCATCTAGTTGTGTTTTTATATATGTTTAACATATTATTCAATACCGATTTCGAAGCTATGAGTTTCATGTTCGACTAAGTTTCGGCACAATCCCATGATTGATCCTTAACTATAGTCAAGCATGATGACTCTCTAACATGTTTTAATCGATCACATGTTTTGAAGGGAAGAAAAACTCAATCTTGAATCATAGTTGTTAAGGGTTTACTTTGATTTCTAATCGACAGGTAATCCGACACGAGTAATGCCTAGAACTCATTTATACAATCTAACTACTTAGCATGATAGTCTCTATTTCTTACCTTCAAAGCTCCAATAATGAATGATTTGGGTTTGTCGAATTTTACCCATTCGAAAGTGTTTGAATACAACTTCAAATAAGTAAAAGTAGAGAGTCAAAGTGCTTGGTTACAATGAATTGATTCCTGAGAATTGACCGATTTTTTCTCTGAATTTAATCCACATAAACTCTCTTTTACCATTCTTTCACACAAGTCACCATTCGAATTCCAGTTGTTCCCCAAGAAAATGACCTTGGATTTTCTATGTTACTACACTGCATCAATTCCTACGCTTGGGAAGATCATTATAATAATTTGAAGACAAAGGCAAGGATACCGATTCAAGCAGTCAATGATGAGCATATTAGTATGTGCTTGAAAATAGGGTCTCAACTTCTTGGAGGCAATAACCAATGCAAAAGACACTTTTTCCATAGTTGGATACCTAGCCTCCACCCCCCTCAATGTTCGACTTATGTAATAAACTGGGTGTTCGATCATTTCTCTTTGGTTGACTAGGGTTGCACTGATGGCTACTTGAGACACTGCAAGATACAAGTAAAACTTTTCTCCTTGCTCTAGTCTTACCAAGAGTAAGGGCTTATTAATGTACTCCTTCAGAGCTCTAAAAGTTGTTCGCACTCTGAGCTCCACTCCGACGCTCGCCTTAGCACTTTGAAAGATACGAGGGATTCACTTAGGCACAATAGCCTATTTGAATAGAACCGTAAACTAAACTGCTCTATTACTACACCTTGTTAATTCACCAAATAACCAAGAAATTTCCCTGATGTTACTCCGAAGGTGTCCGAGAAAGCTATTCTAGTTCTAGTTCAAAACAAAACAATATGGGACCTGTTGCTTAGGGCTTTGGAAGCGAGCGAGCGAGCAACCCTGTCCGCCCTTTGAATGAGCACTTCTGTGAGATGAGCTAAAATCATTCTCCAAATGGTCCTAATTCTGTTTCTGATCCAGTTAAGATTCTTGCAAATGTGCTTGCTCCACTTAATATTCAGCCAAGAAATTTTTCAAGCAATGTAACAAACTAGGCTGGAATTCATGTGGAATTCTTTGGTGGCCTTGCTTAAAAGAAGCCCCCGGAGACATTTCTCACTGGCCTTAGAAATAAATCTATTTAATGCAACAAACTGGGCCAGAATTCATGTGGAATTCATTGGTGGCCTTGCTTAAAAGAAGGCCCAGAGACATTTGTCACTGGCCTTAGAAATACATCTATTGAAAAACGTCACCCTTCCTATGAGCACCTAAACTTCCTTAGTGCTCCTGGGTGACCTCATGTCTAGCAGTACCTTGATCTTCTCTAAGTTAGCCTCTATACCTCTCTGGGTTACCACAAAGCCCAAAAACTTCCCTAAGAAGACCCCAAAATCAAAACCACACTTGGCAGGGTTGAGCTTCATGTTATACCTTAGGATCTCAAAAACTTCTCTCAGATGGTCAATGTGCTCACAGGCTTGAAGGTTTTCAACGAGCATATCGTCCACATGCACCTCCATGGAACTCACTATAAGATCTTTGAACATCCTGTTGAACAACCTTTGATAGGTGGCTCCCACATTTTTTAGACCAAAGGGCATCACCTTATAACAATAGGTTTTCCTTTATATAATTAAAGAAATCTTCTCTTGATCTCGTTTGTTCATCATGATCTGGATATAACCAGAGAAAGTTACATTCAAGAACATCCATTCTGAGCAATGGGAAGTATTCCTTTGGACATGCGTTGTTCAAGTCCGTGAAATCCAAGCACATGCGCCATCTTTCATTGGTTTTTTCATTAGCACCATATTGGCAAGCCATTCTGAATACTGCACTTCCCTTATTAAACTAGCTTCAAAGAGTTTCATTACCTCCTCATTGATTGCCTTATTCTGCTCTAGAGCAGAATTCTGATGTTTCTGCCGCACTTGTTTGGAGGCAGGATTGACATTCAGCCTGTGCTCTGTATGTGATAGGTCAAGCATATCTGACTGTTTCCAAGCAAAAACATCTTTGTTGGAACGTAGGAACTCCAAGAGCAACTGCTTCAAAGTTTTTTTAGCTTCTTCCCCACAAAGTTGGTCTACTTGGATGCCTCTCCAATTTGGATTGGCTCCAGCTCATCAACAGGCTAAGGGCATTCAACCTCATCTCTATGGTCCAATGACTCCATTTGTGTAGTCTCCTAATGTTGTTTCTCTCTTATGGATGCCACGTAACACTCTTGCGCTGCCACTTTGGTCGCCTCGCACTTCACCTAGACCTGTCTTTGTTGAGAATTGCATCAAGAGATGGTATGTTGATGGCACTACTCTAATTAGATTAATGTTTGGGTACCCCAGAATGACATTATATGCTGAAGCTTAGACCAGCACGAGGAAATTGGCCATGACTAAAATTTGGTGAGGGGCTCGCCCAGCTGTAACTGAAATTACAATGGCCTCCAAAAGATAGGCCTTTTTCCCCAAAAATCCAATCAATGGAGCAATGACGGACACCAATTTTTTCGTACCTTTGTTTAACTAGTCAATGGCATGGGTGAATATGATGTCTATCGAGCTCCCATTGTCTATGAGGACTCTCCTCATAGAATAATTAGTAATAGTTAAGTTTACCACAAGAGGATCATCATTTGGATACTAAATCTCTTTAAGGTTATCATGAGAAAAATTGATTGGCTAACTTATGCAAGGCCTATTTCCTGGGTTTACCGAGCTAACCTTCTGCTCGGTCTTTGGTCTACGGACATGATTTCTTTGTTTTTCTAGGTGATTCATTAATTTCCAAGAGAAGGAAGAAACAAACTGTTGTCGCTAATTCCACTACTAAAACTGAATATCGTGTTATAGCATTACTACATCAAAGATAGTATGGTTGAGAAGGTTACTTGTCGATCTGTACGTTGTTGTTGTTGTTTTGCTTCAACTTTTATGTATTATGAAAACAAATGTGGCATTCAGATTACACACAACTCTGTTTTTCATCAAGCATATCGAGATCAATTGTCATTTTGTGCGCTACCATCTTCAGCTTGTGACTATTTCCTTACCTTTTGTTTCTTCTACTATGCAATTGGCTAACTTTTTCACAAAGTCGCACACGATGTTACATTTTCATTTCCTCTTGACAAGCTCTCGATGCTTCCCGCTATCACATCATGAGTTTGAGTGGAAATATTAAAATTGTATTTATATTTATGCTTCTTTACTATTTGGGGCATTCTAGTCTTTCTCTTGTAGTAGGGTTTTATATATAGTGTCTCTTTACCTACCCAGTTATTTTTAATTTTATGGAACCTTGGTGTAGTAGTTTTCTTTTCTCTCTTACTCTTCTTCGTATGTATTTTCTTCTTAGCAAGTTTAAGTAAGTTTACAAATCTAACCCGTTATCAATCCAATCCAATTACCACATAGTATTACAAACATATATAGCATATTTTAAGATCAAATGCATCAAAAACTGAAATTGGTGAACAAAAGTAAATGATATGCCACAATCTATGGTCATTTTGTGAATATACTGTTCACTTCCCAAGAATCAACTACCAAGAACCAAATAAAAAAATAAAAAAGTACTTGACCTATTTATGCAAGGGAACATTCAGTTCACACAGTAAATAACTGCAGAAGAACCATATGTTTCTTGCCTGTCTGCAATCCCTGTAGAACAGTCCCTCGTGTTATACCAATACCCCATCCACTATTAGGAATTGGCTGTTCGACAGCAACTGAAACAGCAACAACATCCCCTTTCTCAACATGAGCACTGCAAGCCAATACACCAGGTACGTATACCTGCAAATAAAATTTTACTACAAAGCAAAAGAAAGAATGTCTGCACATCACTAATTGTCATCTTAATGTATAAAACTAGCTCAAACCAAGAGAACTATAGCTACATCTGAGAAATACATGATATTGCTGGATAGTCTTCAGACCAAATCAACTGGGTACATTTTTAGCACTGAGCATTTTTTGTAAGAAAAGAACTGCATGTCTTAACCACCAAAATCTGAAACTTCAGGTTAATACAGAGGTGTAACAGTTTTACATTTTACTAGATATTACTAAATCTTAACAAACCCTTACAGTATTCAATAGAAATAACAAAGCAGCACTAACATTAGCAATTCCTAACAGCAAGAGTGTGAAACAAAAAGAGAGCTAACCTGAGCACCTCATCAGGGTGAAGGGATAAATATAACTAACAGCAGAAAATATGTTCAGAAGAAATTTAGAATCATTATTTCAAAAAGAGAGGGAATGTGAATCCGCAGAAGTCATAAATGCTACGAAGTTCAAAATAGAGCAGCAAACACTTAGAAGTGCATACTTTACAGACGCCTGAGTAACTGACAGAATGCATATACAGACACTAAAAGGATGTGCTAACCTGAGCACCTCGAAGAACTGCCTCTGCACATTTACGACTCACAATTACCTCCTTTGGAGGTCTGTCTTCTTTGTACTCATATTCAATGGCATGTGGTCCTGAACCTTTAACAAAAAGGACATAGTCTAACCCATGTAATTGACACTTCGAAATGAAATCACTTTCTGAGCTTTCCTTCAGTGGGTCAGCATTTTCAGAGAAGTCTAACTGCGCCTCACTCCAGTCATCCAAATTCCGAAAAAAATTAGACTCTTCAACAGTATTTTTTGGCTTCTGGCCCACAACAGACATAACATTGACATCAATTTTGTTTATACAAATGTTATGACAAGTATTTTGCAGCCCTGTCTCCTTTAGGGCTGCCAAAAGCTTCTCAATAACGGCATCACTTGTCGATTTGAGCGTATTTACACGAATACAAGAGTAACAAGATGGACGCCTAGCCAAAAAATAAAAGTAAAGACGTGTAAATATGGATAAGATGCCACATTAAAAGACAACCAAAATGTTATATTAACTTTTACAATTTGTAGATTAAAGACAGCATAGGTCCACAGCTGACACTATTTACTATCTATTAGTAAGGATTGCAAGGGCTACAAAATCTTATCAAAAAGGATAGCATGACCATCAAGCATTGGAAAATATTTCACCAATAGATTACTTAGCAAGAACTCCTGTACATAATAACATATCAGTGGCATTTTTCTACATACCTCATTACCTTGACATTGATAGTCCCTTTACTTGGAATGAAAGGAGGGAAGTGGATGCAAGGATATCATGTTATACATGCCCTATATGTCCCGCCATCGAGGAATGCATGAACTCAAACTGTATGGGTTCAAGACCCAAATTAAATCCCCGACCTCAAATTGTAACAATAACCCCAAATCAACCTGCGATCCAAGTGACCAAAAATTGTAAACCTAACCCTAACAGCCTAACTTATAATCAGGATTGGTACTTTATTTCTTTGTTTTTAAAATATTACTTTATTTGTTATGATTTGAAATTAATTCGGAATATAAATATGAAAACATTAAGTTTTCTTATTTACAACCATCAGTCAGTATATTGTTTGGGATTACGATAAGCTTTGGAACTCTTCTCATAAATGTAAAATGAATGGTAATCAAATATGTGTGTATGGATATATAATTACATATAATCTCTTAAACACAACTCAACAAAATCTTTATCCCACATATTAGGGGTTGGTTAATTATATATAATTTATTAAAATACTGAAAATAATCCAAATAAGATTTCAAAACGAATAGCAACCCAAAACCATGTATCAATAAAGTCTAACTCCATCGCACCATATATTGGAGAAAGTAATGTGTTGTATTCTTGTACCCCTACCAAATCCTAAATCGACCTACAATCCAATTAAAATTGAGAGGCCCATGACATTCTATTTGTTAGATTATGTGGAGAACTTCTGTTTAAGTGGCATTAGCTTTTGAAATTACTATGACAACAAAATGTCAACAGGACTTTTCATACAAAATAAGGAGACATTGGCATTTTTGGAAATACTATGACTTGGATGGTCTTTTCTTTGCAGTGAAAGGGATTAGGGTGGCATTACTCTTACACATTGGAAAGTATTTGACCAGCATAGTGTTTAACAAAGATTCACAAGTGGAATGATGTGACAGTGGCATTTTCATTATTATCATAACAATAATGGTCCTTCCTTTTAGAACTTAAAAAAAGTGACTATATCATTCTGTTTAGAAATTCTATACTTCACTAATTGAAGATTTAACAAAAATGCAGCACAGAATGATGTGATACTGGTTTTTCTATAAGTTTTGGAATCAAAAGACATTACTGAACAACATCAGTGTCTTCACTGATTCTGTATAGATTTCCTTTCAAACAAATCTATATATAGACTTTTGTGTGATAAAATTGTTGATATTAAAGAGGAAAAAAAGGACCTATGAGTAAAACAATAAGTAGGAGTACAGAAGATACAGGAGAAAGGTATGAGGGGAGTACGTTAAGGCTGTGGAGATAAGTGAGAAATGCTCAGCTCCGTATGCTTTGATAAAATACTCTTCCACCCGGGGGTTCCAACGCAAGGTTGGGTTGTAGCAGTAACGCTCAGATGGATCCATCTGTGAACACAAGCTATTACTGCAAGTACAGGGGAGGGAGGAAAGCTAATACATGTACACACACATTTGTGTATAATATATATACTAGTAATTGTCTGTACCTTCACACAACTGAATTGTCAAAATAAAAAACCGAACCAAAAAAATAGCGAACAGGAAAAGATTTGGAAACAAGAAAAACAATCATAGCAACCACAAAAACTAATTGAGCTAAACTTAAATTATCATATCATCAAATTGACTATCACGTTAATTCTTTGAGCTATGACAGGATGACACAAAGAATCCCCCCATAACTCATCCTCAACTCCAATGTTTTTACTCCAATAAATGGCTAAAAGTGGTAGAAAACCACCAACGGCGGAACCTCCCAACTCCAAAACTACCAACACCTACACACTAATAACCAAATTTTAAAAACAAATTAAATTTCATACTTAAAAGATGTACCCATTTCAGTTAAGCACCGCCAACATATCATAAATTGTAGAAAAAGCATGAGATCTTAAGATTAGTGAGCTCAATGCAATACTCACAGGTATCCAAAAGTTCAAACTAATCAAACAAACTATGGCTTTTTTCCGTACTTTTCTTACCCTAGAATGCAGGTTGTAGATAAATGCACATATTGGGATGGAGTCCTATATGTGGAGTAAAGCACTAGTTCAGGAGATACCCGTGTAGTTTGATTAGTAACTCGGCGTTTGATCGACGACAGGAAGACTCGAAAAGATCCCCCCATAACTCATCCTCAGCTAATGTTTGTACTCCAATAAATGGCTACAGGTGGTAGAAAACCACCAATGACTGCACCAACCAGCTCCAGAACAACCACAACCTACACACTGATAACCAAATTTTAAAAACAAATTAAATTAAATACTCAAAAGATGTACCCATATCATAACCCATTTCAGGTATGTGCCACCACCATATCATAGATTGTAGAAAAAGCATAAGATCTTAACTGGTCATTGTTTACTGTTTCTCAGTGGCTTTTCAGATCTTCCAAACAGTTCGGACTATGTTACATATTGAAGGTGGGTTTCAATATAACTATAAAATCAAAATGTAACATTATATAAAAGCATTAGCACTATGTTAACATTAAAAGAAAAAAACAATCAGTAGTTAGCAAAAAAAAACTGAAAGTGCAAACAAAATGGAGGACTGCAAAAATGTCTTTTGGGGGTTTAAATGCAGTTTGGGGGCACCACTGCCAAACTCTTAAACCCAAGTGTTGGTAGCACGGTGATCCTCAGTGACGGTGTCGTGAATGTGTTTGTATGTGTGTGTACAGAGAAAGAAGAGAGGGTGCAAAACTCTTTGAGAGATTTCGTCGAACACGTGGTGGTCGAGGTGGGTGTATGGCTGGGGGCCGAGCTAGTGCGAGAGATAAATGGGGGAAAAAGAGGAGTAAACCACGAAAGAGAGATACCTGAGGGTCGCTGGCGAGGGAAGCGTTGCCGGTTTTGTTTCACAGAGCAAATACAGTGGACAGAGGAGTGGTGTTAGAGAGACCTGGCTGGTCGTTGCTGTTTCGCTGGATTTGTGGTGATTGCGGTGCCAGGATAGGGTCTCTGTGGTGGCTACTGCCGGCGGCGGGAGGCTGAGAGAGAGGAAGGACGACAGAGTCGGTGGAGAGAGAGAGGATTTGTGACAAAATTGCGAGATTGATTGGTGTGAGAGATGAAGTTTGGGCGGGAATTAAAATTTGGAAAGTTGATACCAGCCCTCGTATTAATTTTGAGAATAAAAATATTTTTTAGAATTTAAGATTTCTTGCACTTCAATATAAAATATAATAATTATTTTTCGTGCACATGAAGGTATGAAATAATAAAAAAAATAATCAACAATAAATAAATTTATTTTCACACCAAAAATTAAATTACAAAGATAAAAAAAAGATAAAGAAATTTAAGCACCGATTATAATAAGGATGAGCGATAGTAATAATAGTGAGAGACAGTGATTGGAGATAATAATCTTTACTGATGGTGGCAGTCGTGGGTGACAACGGTGATAGTGGTGGCGGGGGTGGCAGGGGAGATGGTGGTAATAGAAATAAATATAAGAATAAGATGACGATAATTGTGGATAGTGATGATTAGGGTGATGGGGGTTGTTGTGATGGTTGTGGGGTGGTGGCTGTAGTAGTAGTGATGGACGTGGGGGGTGATGGTGGGACAATGAGGAGGATAGTGGTAAGGATAATAATGGGATAATAGCGATAGTGATAGGGTGGCGACAGTGGTGGTAGTGATAGTGATGATTATGATAGGACTGGTGATGGTGGGGATGATGGTGGTAGAGCGGTAGGGTAGGGGGGTGGTGATAGAGTGATGGCAGTGGTGGGGCGGTGGGGGTTATAGTGGTGAAAGGGTGGTGGCAGCGATGGGGCGATGAGTGTGGTGGTGATGTTGGAGTGTCGACAATGGTTGTGTTTTTTATAATAGAGATGGTGGTGGGGTTGTGGCAATGATGGCGGTGGTGGGGCGGTGGGGTGGTGGTAAGACGGTTTTAAACACTATTTTTAAAAAAAAAAAATACTTATAAGATGTTATAAGTCCTAAAAATACTTTTTAAAAGTTACTCAAACACACCCTTAAAACTCTGTTTTTCCTAGTAAATTTTGGGTGTTAATATTAGCCATCGGATTAACTTTAGAATAAAATTTTAAAACGATCTCAACATAAAAAACAAAAGTCATTTTGTTTATCTTTTGAAATTTGAATTATATATTATTTTATTATATAGATTTTATATTACCCGTGTCTAAATACACTGTTTAACCAAAAAAAAAAAGTAATAACTCATTTGTGAAGTTCTGTTTGTTTTGTCGAGGTACTGTTTGTCAAGTCCTTCTGTTTAGAGTGAGTTGATTTAGTTGCCTAAATAAATGCTTTAATTTCAAATGACTAAAGATATGTTGGAATTAGTTCACGTGGTTCAAATGACTAAAATTCATTCAAATTAGATTTTGGGTATATGCATCGAGCCTAACTCTTATTGATAGGAAAGTTTTTGTTGTTACATAAAAATATAGGTGACGCTAAGCAATTGAATTTGTGTATGTTACTTTTCAAAAAAAAAAGAATTTGTGTATGCTGTAGTGCAAATAGAAAGGTATATACAATTATATCATCTTCAAGTCCACGTCTGAAATTGATAATATGTTAATAGTTATATTTTCTTCTCATGTTGTTTGTTTTTTTTTTTTTTTGTTGTTATTTCATATTGCAGTTATAAATATATCAAGTATAGGTGAATAAATTGGACTGAAACAGCTCTTAGATACAACCAAGTGAAAGCATTGCCATTTGGAGTTGTTGAAGCAATGTTTCAGTTAGGTAAAAGTTCATTTCTTCGTATTATATTTTTAATAATTTTCGGTGAATGAGAAGTGACAAACACATTCTATTTTAATGAACATTACATGCTTTTATTTTGTTATCTATTACATTATCTCTCAACAAATTTGGGGGATTGAATGGTGGACATTCAACATATTTCTTTATCTATTAAGGAAAGGATTTATAGGAGATTGTTAAGGAGTGAGGTAGGAAAGTATGAGATTCTGCTTTTGATGAGGGGATGGTATTTTCATAACAACATGCGTGGGTTATCCATTTCAAAATGGAAAGAATATGGATGAGGGATTAAAATAGTCATTGATTTTTTTGGGGGGCAAGAGAAGCTGATTTTTCAAAATCTTCTCTTGCCAAACCTCCGTGATAGTAGCAATATCATATATGGTTACACAAGTAAAGATAGTTTTGGTGGTTGTTGAAGTTTGCAGGTACTGATCGAAAATTTATCTATTTTGGAATAAAGAAGCGGCTTTGAATTTTTTTAAGAAATTAAAAGGGAGTGCGAAAATTTTGGAAAAAATGGGGACCTTATCACATGTTTATTATTATGGAAGGAGTTGACAAATTGCAATGCTGGTTGCAAATTTTTATTTTTTTTTTAGAAATTGGGTTTGGTAGGATTGTCTATCCTAACTTCCCCTTGATAACTACAAATATCGTCCCATTACATGCCAAATGGAGACATAATTCATGGGAAAATTAATTGGGCAATGGATTTGGCAAAAAAAAAAAAACACGAGAGTAGCGAAAAAAATAAGGAATATGCTCCTTGTCCAGCAAGACACAAAGCTGGACACGTCTCTTAATTTTGCTAGCTTGGCAGATTTACTCGGAAAAAAAATATACTACAAGAAATGAAGGTTTTTTGATTTGGCTAGATTCTTCCTCAAGTTTTGGGTTTTCATTTGAATTTTTAAATGTTTTTTATTCATTTGTAATATAGGTGAAAAATGAGTAAGGCCGAAAATCCCCACACTAGAACTTTTAAATTATAAATAAAATCTCTTTCACAAGACTCAGGTTTAATTTTCTTTTGAAAAAAGAGTTTGAGCTCTTTGGTACTAGACTAAAGGTTTGCTTAAGTATTGTCATATGACATTTCCTTGGGGTCAACAAATTTACTATAGATATAGGATATTAACTGACTTCTATTAAATTTTTTGGCATTGAATGGGTTTACCCTAGATTTACGACCATTCTTGGTGTCAATATTAAACTAAAGGTTTGCTTAGTTGCACATTTCCTTGGCACGAAGATGAAGATTTTTTTTCCCGTGTCTCATGGAAGTTATATTACCTCATTGTAAGTAACATTTGATCAAGCGCCTACAGGACTTTTAATTGACTTTTATCTTGCAATTAGATTAGATCATTAAAGTTTTGAACCATATTTTACTTTATGTGGAGGTGAATTGGATTAAAAGCAATTGCCTGTGCGAACCAAACATATAACACACCGTGTGACTGCAAGCAAAATCTTGTCCTCTCATTCATCAACTTGATCGCTGGTTAAAGGTAATCTTGTAACGACAAAAGAACCCAAATAAAAAACAATGATTTCATTTTGAATCATATTAAACTCAAAACAATTCAACAAACATTTGAACATTGAACAAAAGTTGTTATTCGGTATACACCAAGTAACCAAAGTCACAATGAAAATTTAAATAAAAAAATCAATCGAACAATACAATTTCAAAAATAACAACTTCATGAACACCCGTCAAGTTAGGATGCTTAGATTCATGTCATAAAAGACTTAAGCGTCTAAGCATCTGAACTATTTTAAAATACCAGCATCTGAAAAATATATATTTTTTACTTTTGTCCTCTAACATTACAAATATATCTTCTCTATCTTTCAGAATTAATGTCACATTAAACCAAATCATCACTTATAATTGCTTCCTAGTCACTACCCTATCTATCTCCCTACTTTCTCTCTGTCCCTCTCCCTCTCAAACAAACCGACATGCCCCTTTCTTCACATTTCCCTTTCTGACTCTCTCTTCACATAGTAAATCTATACTACTTTAAAATGTCTTGAAAAACTTTTTTTTTTCACCTTTACCTAGGGGTGGCAATCGAGTCGTGTTGTGTCGGGTTTGTGTCGTGTCGAACATTAGTCAACCCATACCCAACTCATTTAACTATTCGTGTCGTGTCGAGTTGACCTGTTTATTTTCATGTCGTTTTCGTGTTCATATTCGTGCTGACCTACATAAACTTTGAATAAAAAATTTAACGCTAAGATTTTATTTTCACTTAATTGAATATCCCCTCATACTTTTTCTACAAACTAAAAATTAACTTAATAATAATAATAACAACAATAATGAGTAATACTATCTTTTTTATACAATAATTAT